TTCTACTCAAAGCATCTTTCAGTTCTATGCTTTTCTTTGGATTCTCACTCACACTTTGTTAATGAATACTATCTTCAGCTGTCTCCCAGATTACAGAAAGAATGTGTTCTAGACTGACCTAACACCATCTCACTCAACCTCATTCTAAATTTATTTTGCAAAATAAGTAATCTCTCTGAAAAGTACATCTGATTATATAAATCAACATCTCCCTTTGTGGCTTAAATAATATATAATTATAATATATATATATATATTATATACCCACTGTCACCAAGATAAAATAGAAACACGTAACTTACAAAAACTCTCCCTTATTTACTTTTTTCCATTTTCATTTCATATAAGCTACTCTATTTGTTAAACATTGTGTATTTATTGTGTTCCAAGTATTTTTCATTAATCTATAGACCTCCATTCAGTTTAACATGGGTAAGACAGGTATTTTAAAATATAATATCCAGATTAGTATCTGATTACATACAGTGATCATTGTCTTAAATGAAAATAAAGAGGTGCTATGAAAGAGATTAACAAGGGTTTAACTGAAACTGGGTTTTCAGGGATGCATCTTGGTAGAGTCATTTAATTTGAGATACACTGGATGAATAGAAGTTAGCTAAACAAAGCTTCCAGAGAAGACATTTCAGGTAGGGGAGGTAACCAGAGCAGAAACGAGATTGGTATCTTTAGAGAACAGAGAGGCAGCTAATGTGGTTGGGGCCCAGTGAGCAAAGGGGAGCAGGAAGGAGATACGAGGCATGCAGACACTGCACTTCACCGTAGCTAAACAAGGTGTGCTAGCTTGTGTTCTCTCTCCTCCTCTCTCTGTTCCTCCCTCCCTCCCTCCCCCTCCTCCTGGCCTTCGCCTTGCTGTTTCCTCTATTTGAAAGCAAATATTCTACTTCCACAGAAGTCATGCATCACGTTTCCATTATGAACTTCTCTTCATTCTCTAGGACACAGAGTAACTATCACCCATTTGGAAAGTGTATCAGTCACAACAGGTTGAACGTGTAACAGATAACTTCAAAAATCTCAGTGCTTAACATGAAGAAGATGATTATCTCCCTTATAAAAATCCAATGTATATGTCCCTGAGTAGGCATTTTTTTTGATGACCTTTCTTCTTAGTGGTGAACCATGGACTTGACTCACTTCAAATTGTGTCTTCAGGACAGTAACCACTACAGGATACATTTGAAGGGTCTTGAAAGTATTTACAAGTTAAATAATAGTATTTAAACAATTTAAAAACAAGATCATTTAACTCTGAACCTAAGAATACATGAAATCTCAATTCATTTGGAGAATAATTTCCAATTTTCAAATTATTAATAGCATAGATGACTTAGGCATCACTTTCCATTACTATAGCCTCGTTATGAAAATATATCTAGTCGCTACTTAATTTTAAGATTTATTTTCTTGAGATATTGCTTATAATGAATGGGTTCCCCGTAGTTTACCTCAACATCCTAAATAAAAGCATCCTTCTTCCATAATTTCCCCACAGAAATATGAATAGTATTTCTGACTCCATGTAATAGAAAGCTCCACAGTGCTTTCTATAAAAAATTACGAAAATTTCTATTCTTAAAATGAGAATTAAGGCAATGCATTGAAACAGATGTACTACTTTGTTTTGTGGAGTCCTGTTTATGAAATAGTAAGGATGAGAATGGACTACTTAAAATGACTTTCTACCATGTATCTTTTGAAAAGAACACTTACATTGGCAAAATACTTTTGATAGTGGGTGGATTTTTTTAATTGAAATGAAAAAATATGCTTTAAGTTGACCATTGTCAGAAAACATTATGCTCCCTGTTTTGTGACATTTTTCACTCAGTAGAATGCATTCTTTTTTCAATAAGCAAAGACTTTATCCTAGTGAACTTGCAGTGGTATCTGAAAAACATAATTACAGTTCTATTATCACACATAATTTTCCTTTTTTTTTTCAAAATAATGCACACAGTTCCAATAATGTTTCTCATGGATATATGCTTTCTCTGTAATGTATTACTGCAATTGGCTAGCCGCTTTTTCTTGGACTTTGAATTTATGATTTTGAAAAGGCAAATATAGCAATTAAGAGCCCAGTAGAAATCCCTCATCAAATTAAAATCAGCTGGCAAATTTGGACCTTAGCTAATTAACTGCGCTCTTAAGAATTTTTCTGAGAAATGAACTCAATTTAAACTTTAATTAATTAAATTAAAATATATTCTAAAATCTGATAGATCAAAACCCATTAATTTCGGTTTAGCTGGTTCAATCCAGCCAAGTCATCAGGTGTTCTGACCTGATGCACCTCTCAACCAAGCAATTATGCAGTTAACATTACAGAGTGCAAGGATTATGCACTACAACGTGTCAGATATTATTAACTTGGCCTAATAAAATTATATGTAGTGTTGTTATAACCTATGAATAAATAAATGTGAAAAAAAGCCAGAGTAGTTCTATTCCTTCTAAAGTAGTGTCATTAAACAGGTGTAGAAAAAAATATTTCTACTTTCTCCAACTGAGAATTGTTTCCCCTTCAAGTCTTCACTAAACCAACCCCTATAGAAATTTTACCGTGGTATATACAACAAAGAACATTTTGGGGCTGTGTTTTTTCCTTTATGTTACACACTTCCTCTCCACATATACACTTTTTTGTCAGATACTTTTCTCCCTGTGTACATTTTAGTCTTGCCACTGTCTAAAAGAAGAGGAAAAAACCCACAGCAACCTATTTTATTCAATTCTTTTAAACAATTTTTTTGTTATTATATGAAAGATTTTAAAAGTTCAGAAGGAAGAAAATAGTCATAAAATGTCACAGACCAAATCGTTTTAATTTTTTTAATTGAAATATAGTCAGTTTACAATGCTGTGTCAATTTCTGGTGTACAGCATAATGCTTCAGTCATCTTTTTAATGAGGAACTTAGAGGGAGCTAAAAGACAATGGTAGGCTAATTAATAAGACATTTAAACAGCTATATACAAGCGACTTCCAGAGACATAAATGGCTTCAGGTGAGACCTAGTGGGAGAATGTTTTTTTCTACTTACTCTTCATAATGACTGTTACTGGTCTGATAAATATAAGCTGCCATTTTCCCAGGAGAGTGCTGTTTGTTGTCCTGTTATCCTGGCAAACTTAGTAATTATTAACAATGTCTTGGTTTGGACTTAAAATTATGTAATGTCTTAATTATAGGAGTCCTTTGGTGGGATATTGGTGCCAAAATTTAGACAAGGCTGTTCAGTTGCATGAAAGTCACATGTTGTGAGTTTCAAGAAAAAAGGAGCAATCATGAGACACTCAGAAATATAGAATTAAAATAAAAATAGATTAGACCAGACTAGAATGAGTAGCTCTTGAAAAATAAAGGGAATTGCACTTACTTACAGTTAAAAAAAAAAAGTCTTTCAGTGGAGTAAGTGTAGATTTGCGTAACACTTCTACAGACAGAACAGAGCGGCTTCAGTAATCTAGTATAGTGGTCTACAAAGCAAGGTTATAAGATAAAACTAGTTCTATCGATCTTCAACATTATTCTACCTTTTCCATTGTTCTTTTTGTGTATGTTTCATAATGCATATACTATAATAATTAAATAATATTCAATAGGTTTTTAAATAAATAAATAAACATGCTGGAAGTATGATCACAAAATCTATAGCGATGAGCTAGGCAAAAAAATTGCACATCTAATACATGATGAATCTTTGTTAGTCACTGGCCATATTATGACACTAACTGATCATAATCTTTCCATAACTTACAATTTAAAGGCCCTAGAACAGTATCTATAACACTTTGACCATGTTCCAGTCTCATCATGAATAGTATTATGTAAAAATAAGAACACCATCATATACACAATTTTTTTTTTATCATTTGTGTTTGGCATTGCATCTGATATTCTTAGTTAAAAGTCACCTAAATAGAGGCTCCTGTGCAACAAAAGACAAATTTTGTCTCATGATCTAGCAAAAGGCTTACATGAAAAAACTTGAAAGGGTAATCATTGCTCAGAATATTAAATTAAGTGCTGAAAAAGTCATTAGCGGAATAACTAAAATTATGCAAAAGATTAGAAAATAGCATGACATTAGCACGTGTAACAATGCCGATTACATTTGGCATACTAGATTTTTAAAAATTAAAAATGTGGAAAATGTTACAACTTTAATTTTCAAACATCCCCAATTCCTGGCCATCTCAAATTTAAAGTCAGATCATACAAGGTATGCAGTTCATTTACTGACAGATCTTTCAGGATGATGGCTCTTCACTCTTTGAAATAGATGTTCAGACTACAGGGTTTACATATGTTGAATTTCTGGCTCTTCTGATGGAGAAATTACAAATTTACTGTTTGGTGCGTGGCAATTTTTTTAGCATGTGAAGTTTCTATTTTTACTTATAGAGGAATATAAAGTGGAACCCTTGAATACTTTAACTACAGATACGGTTCTTACTTTCAATTTATCAGAGCTAAATTTCTTTTAACATCAGTGGAATACTAGCACATAGAAGAGAGGCCATAAGTGCATAATCATTCACTCTCTATTGCCAATTTCATATCAAATACTGAGAACAAAGCAAATAAAATCACATGAAACCAAACTTAAGAACCCATAATTTAGTGCCTACCATTACAGGATGATTTTATATAGCTGCAAAATTAAGCCTAAGTATAATTTTCATTGCTATGTAGGAATTCCTTCTGTGAAAGTGGCAAAGCTCTGTGACAAGGGTCTCTGTAAGAAAACTGAGGTGATATAAGTCAAATTCCTCGTGACATCATGTTACTGATCCACTGAGCATAAGAGTCCAAATCTCCATTTTAAAGGCTGAAGAAAAATATATTTGATTTCTCTTTCTTAAAGGAAAATTGAATAAAAATACTATGAATAATTTATATCCATTTTAAACCCATTTTACCTTTCTTTCAGTGGTCTAAATGGATGAAAAGATCATAAGCAGTTTGCCCAAGAAAATATAAATCCATACAAAATTCTTTGAATTGCAGTCAAATAAATTATTTATTTTACTCACAATGCTATTATTATGATTAAAGAATGAAAAAAATGATAATGCAATTAATAGTACACAGTACCACTGTAAATAAATTCTTTTAGAAACAAAGATATTTACAGTCTGAGGGGAAAAAAAGAATGATTTTTTTTTTGTTTTCCTGAACCTATCTGTGTTTTGCTGTGATCAGAGCTTGTCAATATAAAATGGTTTAATCATGCATTAAGAATGTAAATTAGGTAGTGAGTCTGAAGTCTATGATATAAACACTGAGTTAAATATTCAGAGACAAATTGATAAACATTAATTTCCTGGATTTTAAGATATTGTTACTTAAAATTTTTGTTTAGAAAAAAACAAATAAGCAAAAATTGCTATAATTGTACATATATTTACAGTAGTAATCCTCAAAAATATTAAATAATCTTTTTCTTTGAATTATGGAAATAGTGTATATCTTTATATTTTTACTTGAGTCTCTACTTGTTAGAAGGTTCTTATATATAATGCTGTAGATTTGCATAGGGAATTGTAGACTATCCTTTCCCGGTGTGCACTGTGTGTTTTATGATTTATTATTATTCTATTCAAGTATAACCAAGAGATGCGAGATTCTGATCCTGAGCTGCTACTGTCTGAGTGCGTGACCTCATGTGGTGGGTCTCTTGCTTTTTCTGAGTTACAGTCCCTAGTCTGCACTGAAGGAGCTGTAAAATTCTATCCTTTCTTTCAGAGCAGGGAAAGAGTGGAGGTGACAGAATTTAGGGCTAGATTTGCTCCTTTGGGGAAGGAATCGATGTAATTTGTTGAGGGAGTCATGGCAGGCAAAGCACTGTGTCGGGCAATAAAGGAGCTCCTGGTCCAGGTGAGCAGTGCGCGCTGAGCGCCTGGGGCCGAGCTGTCAGAGCAGGGAACTGGTGCCCAGAGGAGGAGTTTGGCATAGAAGAGTGTAGAAGGGATGACGTGTACACTCTAAACCAAGCAAACACTCAGCCAGCAAGAAGGATGGATAAATAATAGCAGGATCCAAGCCACAGTCTGTTTCCCGCTATTGGGAGAATAGGAAATGTGATAGAATTGCAAGGACCCTCGTGCCTGGAAGCAACCCCTAACTCTAAAATACATCCTCTCCACAGTGATGAATGAAAATATAATTGCCACATAACGTAATTTGTGATATGATTTCAAATGAACAAAGCAAAAGCTAGGTATGCCTCATTTCATTTTAAATTGTCTCCTGCCCTGTTGTGAGACGATTCTTCCATGGGTCTCCTTTGCTTCAGCAGGTCTCGTGGGTAAGGCATGACGTTTGTTCAGGAACATCTTTTGAAGGATGAATGTATAGCAAACAGTCTAGGAAGAGAGATAACAGTTTCTCACTTTGCAGAAAAGGACAAGTTTTCTTATCTTGGGAGATATAGCGTCTATCTTTGGAGCCAAGGGCTGTTGTGCATACTTCTTAGTATAATAAACACACTGTCTCCCTCAGTGTCAAAAGTTAGATGTGTTTACCAACCATCGCAAAAAGATAGTCTCTTAAACTCAAAGTCCCCTTCTATATCAAAAGTCTGCAGTTCAAATGTCATCTGTCCCTCTTTACATTGCACTGTGGGAATGGGGATTTGAGGAATCGGTGCAAAACACTGAAGCTTTTGGCTGTTATTAACTATTCTTCATTTCTGACCCAAGAACCTCCTATATAATGACTGTATCTGGGCAATTTTGGCAAGTTAGCTGGTAAACTTGCAAGTAGGGTCATAGCTCAGACCATTCACAGTTCTCAATACCCCTTTCCATCAAAGTAGCTGCAATTTCTTTAAAAATGGGAGGGCATTTTATGTATCAGTTTATAATGATCCCCATTAGAGGTAAGTCTCCCACAAATGTCTTCATGATAGATTCTTCTCTATATTGGAATTTCTAGGAAGATGCTGTGGAATTTTGCCATTACAATTCATAGTAGAGAATTTCTGTGAGGCATGCTCTTAAAATATTTAGAAAGCCTTTTTTTTCCTGTCTGAAGGGAAAAAAAAATCTGCCTTAAATATTGACCTCTTAAGAAAGGATCTTACAGATCCAGAATAACCTGGTCTTTGACCTAAGGCCCTTTCTTATTTTAAAAACCCATTGCTAGATGAAAAGTCAGTTTTGACACCTTTACAGGTACTTCCAATTTCACTTGAAAACTGAGTAGCTCATTCTTTAATGTACATTGTCCCTTATTTTATTGCACATAATAGAGGAAGCCAGAATTCACCCTCAATACTCTGCCTGAATCTCTTAGTTAGAGCACTGGTTCATTACATGTTTTACATGTGTCATACTGCTACAGGTTAACATTTTACTAGGCTGTGCACAGTCAAATAACAAGGGTCTTTCTTATCCCCAATTCTTCCAGCCATCTTGTCTTTTTGGCTTTTTCAGTTTCAGCTCATTGCCCAATCTCAAAGCCAATACAATATACTTTGGTTGTAGGTGATAGCAGCCCTTGATTTCCAGGTATAAAATAATTGTTTATCTTTCACTTTAGAGACGTAACATAATAACTATTTTATTATACAACTTTAGTGGGACAGAATCTTGGAAAGGACACAGTGGGGAACCAGATTTTCTCTCTTTCATGGTGATCAGAGTTTCAGTTTTGAAAGTCTTGAAGATTATGGGTGATTTGACATGTTGGAACTGGAAACACATGAAGTTCCATTCAGTCACATGTCTGGGGCCTTGACTGGAAAGACACATTAGAACTGCTGACCAGAGCACCTGCAGTGGCCATTCTATGTGCTTTCACTGCTGACAGCATAGTGACTTCCAGGCAGTTAGACTCCTCAGGGGGTGGTGACTGAGGGCTCCAGAACTAAGTATTCCAGGGAATAGGACAGAAACACACACACTTTCTGCCTTAACTTTGTAAGTCATGTAGTATCATTTCCACAGAATTCTTTTGGGTATAAGGAAATCATAAGTTCACCGTGTTCAAGGGAAAAAGACACAGATCCCACTTCTTAATAGTAAAAAATGTGATGGTCACATAGTAAATTATGTGGGATGGAAACTATTGTGTGGCTATCTTTGGAAAATGCAACCTGTCACAGGGAGCGCGCTACCATTTGTCTCCTGAAGAGAGAGGCAGTACCACGTATGAGTGCATGCACTGTATTTACTAAAACTGATCAAAATCTGTCTTATTAAATGGATCTCCTTACATTTCAACAGACTGAAAATGTACTGACTATCTGACCACAACAGTCAAATTAGAAATCAAAACAGAAAGATAAACAAAAAATTCCAAACATTTGGAAATTAAAAACATGCTACTAAGGAACTCATAAAGATTATTTGACATTACCTGAAATGAATAGTAATGAAGGTACGTCATATCGACAGGATTCTTAGAGGGAAATATGTAGTGTACATTAGAAAATCCTGCAGGTTTTTCTAGATATTGGCAAACTAATTCCAAAATATACATGGAAATGTAGAGGAGCTAAAACATAGAGCAGGAAAGACAATCCTTAAAAGAACAAAACTGTTGCATTTACCAGCTATAGAACTTATTTTCAAGCTACAGCAGTTTATACAGTATGATGTTTGCACAAAGATAAGTGTTTCAGTGGCTGAGAATACAGATTCCAGACACAGACTCACATATATACGGTAACCTGATTTATGACAAAGCCACCTCCACAGTTCAGTGGGGGAAGTAATTGTCTTTTCAATAAATGGTGGTGGGTCAATTGAATATCCATATGGGAAAAAATGGACCCTGACCCTATACAAACCATACACAAAAATTAATTCCAGATGGATCATAGAAATAAATATAGAATCTAAAATAATGAAGCTTAAAGAAGAAAGCATAGGAGAAATTTTTCATGAACTTAGAGTTAACATCAAATAGTATGCTATAACATCACTAACAGTAAAAGAAATATTTTTTAAAATGTACCTCATGAAAATTTAGAACTTATTTTCATCAAATGCTCAGTAAGAGGGGAAAGTTAAGCCACAGAGTTAGTACAGATTTTTGTAATACATATATTCAACAAATGATTCGTTACAGACTATGTAATAGGTCTTATAAATCAAAAATAAAAAGACAAAAAAAGAGAACAAAATGATGCGTAAATGTCACAAAAAGTCACTTCATAAAAAATATTCAGATGATAATAATCACATGAAAAATTGCTTTCAAATATTAGTTATCAGTGAAATAAAAGCACAACCAAAATGTGTTATCACAACAAACCTATGTAAATGGCAACCAGAATTGCAAATATTGTAGAGGACGTGGGACAACTGAAACTCTCAAAAATTTCTGGTAAGAATATAGGTTGGTAATCCACTTTGAAAAATGATGTGAAGAGTATTTACTATAGCTAAAAATGTGTTTACCCTGTGAGCTAGCCATTTCATTTTTAGGAATAACCTGAACAGAAATGAGTGTGTTATGTCCATTCCATGAAAATTTTATTCTTAATAACAAGAAAGTGGAAATAATTCAAATACAGGTCAGATATACAATGGATAAATAAGTCATGGGGTATTTATATAATAGTTAACAGCAATGGGTGAGGAAGAAAAACTGCAGCTACATGCGAGACATAGATGAATCTTTTAAATGCAATATTTAGGACTAGAGGCTAGATGTGAAAGAGTGCATTGTTATACATGAAGCTGCAGAACATGAATATAGAGTAATAGAACTCAGAATTGCATTCCTGGGGACAGGAGGTACTAATGACCTTCTGGGATATTGGAACTATTCTGTATCTTGATTTGGACGGTGGTTACAGAGGGGTATACATACGGAAAATTCAATGAGCTGTACTCTTAGTAAAAAGCGTTCATTTTATTGCATGTAATAGGTGTATGTTCTAGAAAAATGTTTGTACATGTTCATTAGCAAAAATATACTATAATGTTCAAAGCAGCCTGAAATGTTTGTCAACAGAAAAATGACTAAATTGTCACTTATTTTTTACATGTACTGTAAATATAAAAATTAAAAAATGACAGTTATGTATAACTAAAATTATAATTGTGGACTCCAAAGATGCAAATAAGAGGGTTACAGAAGGATACTTGTAGTATGCTACACTTGTGGTACCACTTACTTTATAAAAATTAGAACCATGCAATGCAGAATTACATACTTATGTAATAAAATTATAAAGAAATAAACAATGAGTGACAAGATCAGATCTATGTTTTGGAAAGCTGTTTTGTAGAAATTTAGGGTATGGGTTGGATAAGAGGAAGAGATATTACTAAAAGAGCACTGGGGAAGAGGTATTGAGTAAGAGGCTATTCTACTGGGAAAATTTGGTGAGGAGATTAATAAGAACATATTCAATGGGAATGAAAAAGGGGAGACTCATAAAATATTTCAATAGGAGATCAATAGAATCTGTTAATCCATTTGAAATGGGAGGCAAGAAAAAAGGTAATGTATATTTATGAAATATATACGCTTTATATGCTCAGCCACTGTGCCAGGTGTTTTACATATGCTATGCCATTTAATCCTCATAATAACCTCGTGTGATACATATATTTATTTCCATTTTACAAATAAAAAAAAGTGAGTCTCTTGCAGGTTATTTAATTTGCCCAAGGTCAAATGGCAAGGAAATGGAGATGCCCTATTCGAAGCCAGGTGTGTTTGATTCAAAGGTCATGCTCTTTTCATTTCAGAATGAATCCTAATACATCACATAGCATTTGAACATTGTTGCCTTGGTGAATGGTGATGCCATTAACTGAAATAGGAAATTCAGAAAAGTAGCATGTTCTATAATATATAGAAGGGAAAGTTGATTGTTAAGCGTGTTTTAACTTTGCAAACTTAATGTCTTGCAAGAAGTTAAAAAGTGAAGGTCTAGGGCTGTTTTGTCCAATACACCAGTCCCTGGTCACATGTGGTTATTTAATTTTACATTAATTAAGGTTAAGTAAAATGAAAAAGTTCAGCTCCTCCTTCACAATAACCATGATGCAAACGCTTTGGAAGTCACATTTGGATGATGGCTGCCATATTGGATTGCAGAGTTGTACAGTGTTTTCATCATCACAGAAAATTTTATTGGATAATGAAGGGACCTATAGTGCTGACAGAGCTTGGATTCAGCAGTCATCACTATGTTAGACTAGGATGTAATACTGTGAACAATGATTATAATAATATCTCCCATTTATTAGTTAAAGTTTCTTGGTCTATGTCAATAATTTTGTACACATTCTCTTATTCAATCCTCATTGAAAGTTTCTGAAGTCAACACACATTTTTATATGTGAACAATGTGAAAGAAACATGTTACACACACTTTTAAGAAAAAAATTTAGAAAGAAGA